CAGCAAGAATGCTTGAGAACTCTCTTTCCTTCAATTCCCTGGCACATAGCTGCTGGTCATGCTGGAGTGTACAGCCTCATCTACAACCTGTCTCTAATTATCACCAATCTCCTTCTCTCCCCTCTCAGCTGAGATCTGGAAGGCTGGAATGCTTCTGTGAATAAACAGCTCTGTGGTTTCAACCCTCTGTGATCTCCAAGTCCCAGATCTCATTGGTAGTAGTGTTTAAGGACCTCAAAGATGTGACTCTGACATTCCCTCTCCTTGTCAGGTAGTGACCCATAACTTCAGGCTAAGAGCATTCATAGTAGCACTTGGAGAGAAAGCACCTCTTGAGGTGAGCTGCTGGTCTGGGGTGGGGGAGCTGGCAGAAGCACAGACACAAGCAGATAGCACAGGAGCTGCTAAAGGGCGTGGATATTATTCCGTGACAGCCAGTTCCACATCTTCTTAAAGGAGGAATGTTGTTCTTTTTTGACAGAAGTCTAATATGATGCTCTGAAAGCATTAACATCGTATTTCTGGCTTTCTAGATGGTGCACACAAGGCGGCTACACAGTGTTGCTTTACTTAGGATGTTTTTAGACTCAGTACAGACAGACTTGGGGTCTTTTTCCTTCTCTTTCTTTAAGGTTAAATGCAAATGGCATTTTTCTAATGTCAGCACCACAGTGCACTGTGCTGGGTGCTGGAGGCTGAAAGAACTGTGTTGGAAATGTTACTTAACCTCTCAGAAGCTCATCTTTCCATATGGAGAGTGGGATAATAATGGTACCTTACTCATAGGCTGTGACAGCCTCAGAGACGCTCATCCAAAAATGTCCCCATCTTGATCCCCAGAAACCTCTGAATTTGTACCTTTCAATGTGAAAGTGAAGAGGACTTTGCAGATGTGCCCACCTTAAGGTTCTTGAAATGAGAGTATCCTAGCTTATCCAAGTCGGCCCAAAGTCATCACAGGGGTCCTTACATAAGGAAGGCAGAGGGACAGAGTCAGGCAGAACTGGAAGATGCTATGCTGCTAGATCTTAAGATAGAGGGAAGAGCATGAGTCAAGAAAGGCAGGTGGCTTCTAGAAGGTGGAAAAGGCAAGAAAACAAATGCTCCCTTAGAATGTCTTGAAGAAGCACAGTTCTACTGACACCTCACTACTAGCCCAGTAGGATTCTGACCTCTAGAACAGTAAGGTAATAAATTTAGGTTCTTTTGAACCGATAAGTTTGTGGTAATTTGTTATAGCAGCAGAAGACATTCAGTGCATGGGGAATGTTGCAGCAACAGAGAGGGGAGGGGTTTAGACATTAGCAGTGGTACAGAGATTAGTCTGTAATCTATTTCACTGCTTTAGGGTAGACATTGTTTTCGGTAGGACTGTCTCATGAAACATGGAATGGGTAGTTTTTGTATGATTTCTCCACTGTACTTCAGTATCCTAAAAAGATTTGCTGGCTCTCATGTTGCTGACATTCTTCACTGAATCTGTTGATGGACAATGAAGAAAGCTCTCAGCAGCTTGACATAAAATGAGGCAGGATTTAATGTAAATCATTTTTTTTTTCAGGGGGAGGGTTGTTTCTTGTGATTCCACAAAGTCTTCTGAGATATATTCAATGCTCCACTACTGAGGATTCCAGAGAACATATTGACTTTGAAATGTTTCAGATGGGAATATTTCTAAAATGTGTTATATACTTCCCGACTTTTAAAATAAAAATATTTGCACAGAGTAACTCTTGATTTTTGGGGGTCTTTCCTCAGGTTTTCCAAGTTACCTTCCTTGCTCAATGCTACCTACCAACAATCTAAATTAACTTCTACAGTGGTCCCTTATCTTTCTTTTAATGTGACACCCTTAGTCTATAGCAGTCTTAGCAAATGGGTGATAAGCTCAGCGGCATGGTGCATAAACTAAGAATAAAGGAGCTTGGACACACACACTCTCTCCCTCCCAATCAGAGACTATTGTTTTTACTTCCTGATACAAGCTCGCCACCTGGATTGTACTTCCAGAGAGGTGAGTGATACCAGTTTTTAGGTGAGCTAAACAAGGTGCTGTGAGTATGAGATGAGGAGCAAAGCCCCTAAATTCTAAAGCAGATGCGGTGCTTTGTGTATGCCTGTGATCCCAGCCAGCTAAGTTACCTGATATAATTAAAGTGCCCAATTAAAAGTTTTTGAATGATTGACTTTCCTTTTGGTGTCATCCAGGGCAGATTTTTGAACTTTTTGCCTTGCATACAGTAATTATGTTTGGAGCTCTCTCCTTCCACCTCCTTCTTTGGGAAATCTTTCTTTCCCTTTAGATCATGTTACATCTCACTGCAATACATTGTGACATACATGTAGCTAGTAGATGTGAAAGAATCAGAATAGTACTGCTGTGAAAAACATAATGGAAAACACTTTTAGAAACATTTTTAGGAGGTCTGCCCATTTAGTTGAAATTAAACCCTAAATATTATAATTATGGTGGTATTTCACACTGGAATGACCCAGACATTTCTGGTGTACATTCTGTCTGGAAAACAAGTTGGAAATACAGATCAAGGGTATCAGACATGATCTGATCCTCCAGTCCAGTAATTCCACTTCTTAGGATCTGTTCAAGAAAAATAATCTTTCTACACAGACAGCAGTGTTAAAGGTATGTTTTGTGTAGAGGCTGTAATCCTCCATCTTCTGCCTTCCCTGAAGGACTGATGAGGGGACTAGAAGCAATTCCCCAGCTCTGAGGACCTGAGCAGAGTGGAGACCCAGGGACTTTTTCAGCTAGTTAACAGATTCAGTTAATTGAGCCCTGGGAATATTACCTTTGCTCTATTCCATGTCTCTCCAGATTTACAAAAGAAAAAAAAAAGTTACCTTCTGTTTAGACAGAGAGAAACTATAGAAAAGTAAACAGAACATTCCTCCTGGTGTTCTCAGCCTAGTCGAACTATTGTTGGTAGAGCATAGTCTATCATGCAGAATGGGCCTTAGAATGCTGTGGTAAGAAGGCCTCCTTACATAATAGACACTCTTATAGATGGTTTCAAAGACTGACACAGTTATAATGATTCTTTGGCTGTCTTTGCTACACTCCCAGGAACCTGCCAAACTTGAACTCGTATAATAATGCATTTCTTTTCCTTCTCTCCTACAGTAACACATTCTTCATAATTTCTACTGAATTAAATTGCTTTTCATTGTTTCCCTAATTTTCCTATAAAAATTATGTCTCCCTCTCCTTTTTTTACAGTGCTCATCATGATTTGTAGGTATGTAAGTATTCATGTGTTCATTTCTTTAAGCCAGTCTCTCTTGCCCGTAAGCTCCACTTAACAGGGAAACATATGGTCAGAGGTGGCCACTTATGTGAAGCACTGTCCGACAGACAAATTTGCTTTTGAGGGAAAAAAGGATTCAAATTCATAATAATGTAGACATTTGATTTCCTCTATGTAACATTACCTTTAGGCCAACAGAAGATTTTCTGACAGTTCAAAGAGTGTTAGTGATAAGTGACTTAAACCTGTAATTAAGTTAGACTTGCTATCACATATGAGATGCACCCTTTTGTGACAGACTTTGGGCTTTGAACATTGCAAAAGGGTTGATTCCTGCTAAGGAGAAAGCCAAAATGAAGCCTCCCCCAATACCAGCAAAGAAAACATATCTTTAAAGGAAATGTTCCAGGAGCTGGTAGGAACTTATCAAAAATCTATGGTAGGATTTTTTTTGTCTCATTGATTTCTAAAAAAAAAAAAAAGAGATATACTTATTTAATCCTATAGGCTTTCTTTATTGTGACAGATGGATCAAATCTTTTTAAAAATAAGTATTCACTATATTTTTTTCTTGCTTTCTAAATCTGATCTCATTATGCAAATGAATTAGAATGAGGGAGAAACAAATAGAACAAACCAAAGTTATGGAGAAAGTATGTGTGCAAACTTTATTTCATCATGAGAAAATCACTTCTGTGCAGTAACAGAGAATACTGAGATCTACATGATGATAGGGTTTGCTATGTATTTAGGTACATACCTTATATTTGTATACAATTATAAAATTCATGGAGGAAATGAATTTCTACAGTACAGTTTCTTGTTGGTAGAGAACTTGTTCCATTAAGAAAATGACCCTCCCCCCCCAATTCTGTGACTGTGGTACCAAGGGTTGCAGTTTCAAATCCTATAATTTATTAAATTAGACACCATAATCTTATGAACATTGAAAGAAACTAAGAAATTACATCCTCCTGCACAGGATGAAAGGAGAGACAGAAGCACTTAGCTTGTTATGCCCAGGACTGATTTTAGCAGAATAGTATGATTTCCATAACATCTTATGAGTAGAAATGGTTTCCTATAGCTTTGATTACAAATATTAGTAACAATGCTGCATTTTTCTCTCTTCTGGCATGCGCTTCACTTTTCAATCAAACCACCTATGCACACCTGGGAAATGAGGCCAGCACTATTGGGGCCTTCTGTATTGCTTCCAGGAGAAAACTCTTAGAGGGCTTTTGCATTTAGCACGGTATTTTGGAAAAGGGATAACTGCTCTCAGACTGACAGGTCATTCCAGAGAGAAGTTGCTACAATGATAATTCTGGGGGAAGCTCTAGCTACCACATCACTACACTCTACATGGGAGTATGTCAAGTGGGTGTTTTCCCTTCAACAAATACTTTTTCAATAGATAGTATCACTCAGACTTACAACTGCTCCCCAAAGCACCGTTTTCATAGCTAGGTGCCCTCCACTCTTGCCGTGGGGTCCAATGTTGTGCTTGTTTTTAACCATGTGGACCACTGTAGAGGTGACTGACACTGGCTGAGGTTTGTGGGAAGTGGGAAAAAGCCACAACAGTTCTAACTAACATCTTGATGAAAACTGACGTAATTAGGTTCTGCAGAGGAAAGTTATGGAGAATGCCGGGGGGGTAGGAGGTGACATCTATAATTAAAATGACACCCCAAAGTCTCAAAACACTTTGGCTCTGGCCAAACCTACAACTCCTCATAGGTTTAATTTCATGTGCTGTTGAGTAAGTTATAAGCCTCAGGTTACACTGGGCCATCAAATTCAAACCTCTGTTCTGAGACAGATTGTCTTTGATGACCAAAATATTTATAGTGTAGCTAAGAAGCAAATGTCCCTTTGAGATTAACCTTGTACAGTGGCCCTAGGCAGCCTAACCACGACTAAAGGGACTGGCAAAGATGTAAATGGCGAGGTAATGCAGAGTTGCTGGTCTCTTCCTGTTTGGTGCCCACAGGAAGTCTCCATCCTGGTGCTGATGGCCTGGGCTTTGGGTAGAAAATGGAAGCAGTCCAAGCTGGTTAAGCCAGAAGTGGCCAACGGGCCCACTCTGAGAGCTCTAGCACCCCACTCCCATTGGAAACACATTTAGTCATACAAATCCACAGCTGGAAAGAACCTAGGTCTCCCCCAATCCCCCAGGAACAAGCAAACACTACAAAGAAATTGAGAATCATCTGGGTAAAACTGGCAACTGATGTGGATCGGTAGAGAATGGGAGCCTGCTCTAGAGCCTAGGTACAGCCGTCTTAGACACCAGGGGCACATTCAGGCCTTCACGTTCAGCTTCTTCAACTGCAGCTTACTTAGAGTGTTAGCAGAGGAAGCCGACGGCCCAAGCCATTGGAACTGCCGATGTGGAATCTTTGTTTGCTCACATCCACATCCCATGGGCTCTCTAAAGGCAGGAGAGGAACAGTGGCTCTGAGGCCGAGTGCAGAGCAAGTCATGGAAACACTTCAGGAATGTGGGCAGTGGTGGGGTTACCTCCAGGCTGCCAGCCACGTTAGATGCCACGCAGTTCTCGCTCTGAGGGATACTGCTGAAGGGCCTTACCCTCAGACGTCTGGAGGACCAGGGTCTTGCTGTATGGGCTGACTCCTGTTTTGTTGAAGGCCTTGACGCGAGCGTTGTATGTGCTGTTGAAGTGAAGACCATCCACTGTGCACATTGTCTCTTTTCCGACATACACTTCCTGGGGGTCAACAGATGACAGGATCCCATTTAATGTGAACCCTTGTGACAAGTGAGGAAAGCAGTAGTGCTGAGTGGTTGCTTAGCAGTCAGAGCTGTGGTATCAGCCTGAGATAGATTCGACTCCTGTGAGATATTGGGTTGTTCATTTTACCTTTCTAAGCCTCAGTTACCTAGTGTGTAAAATGGAGATGGCGAAGCCTACCTTCTGAGGATAGCGTGAGGATTATATAAGGTTATAAATGCGGATTGATTAGCATACTGCCTTGCATTTCACCTATGCCTGGCAGCTTAATGAATGGTTAAGTTGTTAGCAGAAAGGGCTTAAAAAATTAATTTGGAGCTGGGTTGGGTGGTGCACACTGGCAATCCTAGCACTTGGGGTCGGGGGAGAGGGTCTGAGGCAAGAGGCTCACAAATTCAAGACCAGCCTAGGCTACATAGCAAGACCCTATCTCAAAAACAAAAACAAAAAAATAAATAAATTAGGTGCTTATTGTTAGGATTATGTTTATTCTTATTAACTTGGCATGTGTACAGTATGTTACTTTGCTGAGCTCTTTATCTATCAGTGTGATTTGTAAAAAACATGTTCCAAACATGAAAACACGAGGGTGGTCTCTATGCTGTGTTTATAACCCCACTGGTCACTTCAGGAACTGTCACAAAGACTACTGTCAAAGACATAGGAGGAACATTGATCTACCATTTGATCCAGCAATACCACTCTTGGGGGTATAACCAAAAGATTGTGACACAGGTTACTCCAGAGGCACCTGCACACCCATGTTTATTGCGGCACTATTCACAACAGCCAAGTTATGGAAACAGCCAAGATGCCCCACTACTGACGAATGGATCAAGAAAATGTGGTATCTATACACAATGGAATTTTATGCAGCCATGAAGAAGAACGAAATGTTATCATTCGTTGGTGAATGGATGGAATTAGAGAACATCATTCTGAGTGAGGTTAGCCTGGCCCAAAAGACCAAAAATCGTATGTTCTCCCTCATATGGAGACATTAGATCAAGGGCAAACACAACAAGGGGATTGGACTTTGAGCACATGATAAAAGAGAGAGCACACAAGGGAGGTGTGAGGATAGGTAAGACACCTAAAAAATTAGCTAGCATTTGTTGCCCTCAACGCAGAGAAACTAAAGCAGATACGTTAAAAGCAACTAAGGCCAATAGGAGAAGGGGACCAGGAACTAGAGAAAAGGTTAATCAAAAAGAATTAACCTAGAAGGTAACACATATGCACAGGAAATTGTGAGTCAACTCCCTGTATAGCTATCCTTATCTCAACCAGCAAAAACCCTTGTTCCTTCCTATTATTGCTTATATTCTCTCTTCAACAAAATTAGAGATAAGGGCAAAAGAGTTTCTGCTGGGTATTGAGGGGGTGGGGGTGAGAGGGAGGGGGCGGAGTGGGTGGTAAGGGAAGGGGTGGGGCAGGGGGGAGAAATGACCCAAGCATTGTATGCACATATGAATAAAAAAAAAAACATAGGAGGAGTACAGGTTTGGACCACGGTTCAGAGTGAAGGGAGAGGAGGCACGGCATTTCCAAGGCTTAAAAATAAACCCTAGCAGAATGCATCTTTAATATAGGTTAGACATTTACTTCCCTCTTTGTCTGTATACTTTGCAAAATTATGCTGGCATAATGAGTAAAGACAATTTGCATTCAAAGCACAGCTTTAAAATGACAACTCTCTTGTGGACTACTAAGAAGACTGGGGTCTTGGATGGCCCAGCAATTCATTATGACTGCAGCAACAACAAAAATCTGAATATTATACCTTTTCATTTAGTGCTTCTCAAATTTTATGTGCATATCAATCACCTGTGAATCTTACTGAAATGCAGTTTCTGATCCAGTAGGTCTCTGGGATGGGCTCTGAGAGTGCATTTTTAACAAGTTCCCAGGTGAAGCCAATGCTAGTGGGGGGAGGACTACATTAGAGTAGTAACCTGAAGTCTCTTGGCCTGGGACCTTGGCCGACAATACACCACACCAACGGTCACACCTTCTCATGGTAGTGTGGAAGGAAGAGAAAGGGACCTGGATGTAGCTCCATAGCCTGACTAGATGCAATGAGGGAGATTCAATGACTCCCTTAATGTCATTGGGGCCTAAGGATGAAGAACTAGCTGGTGCTGAGATTTTGAGTCTGATATCTAAGAAAGGACAATTGGAATATAGAAGAGACAGAACTAAGTTTTAAAAGAAAAGTATAGGTTTATTTTAAAGCAACTTTGATGGTGTAAGCCATAGAAAATTCTACACAGGTGGAAATTGACCTGACTTTCAGACAAGAAGTGTGGGTGAAAGTGATGCACCAGGGAGGAACCTACATCTGGGTGGGTAAGGAGGCAGGACAAACTGAGGCCTTGGAACTGCAAGAAGGAGACCATTCCTGGGATGATGCCTGGAATGTGCCAATAGGTAATAACTGGTTTAGAGAATTAAGAAGACGAGGAAACTTAGTCTTTCAGGAGAAAAAAATAATACTAAAGGGAAAAGAAAGGCCCTTAAAATGAAGCAAGAACCAAAGAGGCAAAGTCAGAGGTAAGAAACTGGTGCATAGACATGATTTTTACACACATACACACACATGAGTACAAAAGACATCAACTGAAATGGAACCCAAGACCCGAGGTAGAAATTAGATTTTGCAGTACCAGTCAACCAACACATATGTAAGTAAAGATGTCCTTATCAAATGAGAGAGCCTTTATCCTTGAGGGGAATTGTAGAAGATATGGTCCCTGCTTGGAAGTATTTAAACCTAGTGGAGTATCAAAAACATTCAGGAAAAGAAGGTCTTGACAGGCTTTGCTCTTGCAAACTAAGTAGCCGAGGTCCCTGGTGATGGATGACCAAAAGAAAGCCTGTGCTCAGGGACTGGGGTGTGCTTTTGGACAGGGTGCTTCCCTCTCCATCAGTGCAGGATTGACCACAGAACCCACAATGGCTGCTGTTTAGGAGGTCCCAGACATAGACTCCCCAAGAAAGAAACTCAGCCAAGTCTGAGTTGGAGCAAATGGAAAGCAAAGTGGAGGGGAAGAATGGATGAGAATGAGGCTCCGTGTGCGTAAGAGAGAAAAGCAGACATGTGCAGACAGGCAGTCACACACACATCATCAACCTGTAGGCACCATGGCCATGTCCTACTTTCGGAGGGGACCACAGCTTCCCATTGCAGTTAGGAGTTCCTTACTCTGTGGAGGTAATAATCTACTAGCACCAGTTCTGTCTGGTGAAGTCCAAGAAAAAAACCCAACAACACAGAACTGTGAACCTTTGGTAGAGGAGCTTTTAGAATAGGGAGGCTATAAGCGGAGAGCTTGACAAGAAGAACCAACCCAAGATATAAGAAGTTACAGTTGCAGAAACAAATCTTAGACAACAGTTAATGACATTATTTGCAATACAAAATAATACTAATTGTGATGCTGCTACTGCAAGCTTGCCATGGACGAGGCAGCACGCTAAGAATTTTATTTGGATTATTTAATTAGCAACCAGGCATACCCCTCACTTGCAAATGAGGACCTGAAGGCTCAAAGAGGTGAGAATGGGCCTGGTCACACTGCTAAACGGTCTCTTAGGAACAGTAGAGTGATACAGGGAGAAGGCAGGTCTCAGCTGTAGGGCAGGCAGGTTTGCCAGGGTGGCCCATCTGGAGGACAGCCGGGAAGCCAGGCCTGAGACTGCATGGCAGGTCCCCTGAAGGAGTCACTGGCTACGGTTAACAAGTAGAAGATTGTCTACCTACCCGGAACTGACCGCCACTGCCGTCATCCAGCTCCAGAATGTATCCTTCCGCTGGCACAGTGGACAGAGGAGGCTGTTTCCAGGACAGCGTAGCGCTGTTGTTGTGGGTGCAACACTCCTCCAGCTGCAGGATGGGGGTTGCTGGGACCGGAGAGGAAGCTAAACAGAAATTAATGTTACTCTGGATTCTGCACTGTTGCAGATATTTCTGTATCATGGAATCATAAACACCCCCCTGACAAACGCGATTAGAAGGAGCCAGTCTGGGGTGCATGGCAGACCCCAATGGGATCCTCCCAGACTCTCCAGGGTTGGGCTGGTTCCTGATCTTTGTCCCGGGCTCATGGTGGCACTTCTCGCCTTAATCGTGGTAGCTGGAGGGGGTCAGGCATGTTCACAGAACGCTGTTCTCACTCTCTTCAGTGTGGAAGACATCATCCCTCAGGGGATAATGGGGACTGAATTTCAAGCCCAGCTCATTAAAGGTTATTTAACTCACAACCTGGCGGACGCTGTGCCAATAATTTTATTAAATCCCAGTTGATAAACTGGGGACTACTCATTTGAGAAGCAGCTCTGAAACCACTATATTTCTAATATAGGTATGATTCCACGTCACATCTTGTGACCATGAATAGCTATAGTAGTGGGTTTTTAAAATGCCAAGTGACAAAACAGTGATCTCTCCGTTTTGGAACTTCTGAAGAATCTGACATTGTACTCAAGGCAGCAGCTGTACCTAGGAAACAGCATGAGGCCAAGTTGCTTTTTTTTCAGGTACAGAATACCTGACTGTGAGCCTGGGAATCATATGGGAGCAGAAAAGGGGGCTCCAGGTGTCCCCACAGCCTTGTGAGAATTTGTTATGGTATTACTAGCTATCCACCTCCCCCTGCATTTTATATCAAGTCTTTTATATTGCTTATACTGTAGAGTTAAAAAGAAAAAGAAAAAACTCCAAAAATTTCAGAGTAGCTGAGCCTTCAGAAACAGACGTAGAAATGCTGGTTGATGAATAATCCCAGTTCCTAATATATGAACTTGATATATGTAGCTGAGAGCAGTGTTTTTACGAACTGATTAAAATTTTTTAGCATCAAAACACTGATTTAGTATTTTTTTTTTTTTTAGCACTTTAGTAACAGGAGAGAACAGCTTGGACTACATTCAGAGACAACTAGATGAACAAATGTTAATTGTGGAACTCCTCGTGGGCTGTCCCAAAGTTAGACTTTGTGTGTCATGCATAGAGTTAAATCTGCTCCTGATAGTCAGTCACCCAACCAAGAAGATGTCTGATTTAGCTGCAGTTCAGGACACAGGATCTATGGATGGGTAACCTAGAAAAGAAAAGCAGTGACTACAACATATGAGGTGTGAACATGAAACAGGTCACTCATCTCATTCTTAGAACTGTTACATTATAATGAAACCATGTCTGAGCTACTAAACCAAGCATAAGCAAATCAAATTTAGCAACTAGGTAATCAGAGAGGATCTGTTTAAGAAGAGAAGTCATGCTTCAAGTTTCAAGGGCCCAGGGTTTGGATGGAATATTCTCAGAGACCTGTGGCTAACTGTAGCCTCAAGGGTCCCAGACATCTGGATTTGAAGGAAAAGAGATTAAATTACTTGCCTTGTTCAATAAATAAACTCCAGGATTAGATGGAAGGATGAGGAGACAGAAGACATAACTCTTTTTTGACATAGAGATTAGGCAGGGAGTTGGGAAACCTAATGGCTGAGAATGATGGCTTAGATGGTGATAAAAAAACAAATTCTGGCTCTAGGACTTTAACAGAATGACTTGTGACACTCTGTTGGTGTCTTGTTGAGCTACAGCCCCCCCATAGCCTGTGAAAAATAAAAAGTACCGGTCTGACCATCCAAGGCCAAAAACTCCCCTTCTGAAGTGAGGGAGGAGTTGTTGCATAGCCCAGTCTACCAGAGTTAATGATACATAATCTTTTCCTGGAATGACTACCCCCATACCCACAGATACCAATAAAAGTTGAGGTCTTAAGACCCTTGGGGTAGCCACTCATTCTTGAGCCTATCTTCTCTCCCATTTTCAGGGTGAATTTCACTTTGCTTTGCCTTAAATTCCTTGAATTCTTTTTCTGATGAGACCAAGGACCTTCTGGCCCCTGATCCAATGACCAGGACCCAGGAGCACTTCTCATGATTCTAATGAAACATCTCCACAGAAATAGGCATCACTGGGAGTCCTAATGACTTTAGGTCATTACAAATATTGGGAACTTACTCTGGTATTTAAATTTTGTTCCCTTTATTTTATTTTATTTTTTAATTTTTCTTTTATTATTCATATGTGCATACAAGGCTTGGTTCATTTCTCCCCCCTGCCCCCACCCCCTCCCTTACCACCCACTCCGCCCCCTCCCTCTCCCCCCCAATACCCAGCAGAAACTATTTTGCCCTTATCACTAATTTTGTTGAAGAGAGAGTATAAGCAATAATAGGAAGGAACAAGGGATTTTGCTAGTTGAGATAAGGATAGCTATACAGGGAGTTGACTCACATTGATTTCCTGTACGTGTGTGTTACCTTCTAGGTTAATTCTTCTTGATCTAACCTTTTCTCTAGTTCCTGGTCCCCTTTTCCTATTGGCCTCAGTTGCTTTTAAAGTATCTGCTTTAGTTTCTCTGTGTTAAGGGCAACAAATGCTAGCTAATTTTTTAGGTGTCTTACATCATTTTGTTCTCCCTTTGTTCAGGTTTCAGGCAAGTCTGTATTTTATCAGTTGTAAAAATCAAAGAAAAAAGATCATGAGATAGTTTCAATTTGACTCATATAAGTGTTTGCAATGTCTCTAATAAGAAACTCAAATTTCCCGTTAGACATAGGTATACTTGAAAGAGTAATTGAGAAAATAATGTCATGTATAATTAAAACACTAGAATTTCATTTGTAAGTCCTGATTGGATACAATTTAAAAGAATGAATAGAAAAAAAAATCTAACCGTTCATTAATCTTCAGATCTTATTATCATCTCAGATTTTTAAAAATAAGCAAATGAACAAAAAATCAGGAGGTGGGGAAGGAAGAGAGAACTTACCTAGAGATGTACACATGTGTCTAAATCTATTTTTTCATGTGCTAAGAATTATTTTTTCTTTTTCTTTATTATCTATTCCTTATTTACCCCAAATGATATGGTACATAAAAAAGAAGATATGGCAAAATTATAGCCTCATTAGCAAAGAATCAGGTCAACATTTACAAAAGTAGATTTTATACCCTATTTCATTTTATTAGGTATAAAATAAATAGTCTACGAGAAATCCAAAGTAGTTTTGAATTAATCTGTCTTTTATGGTTTGGAAGTGGATAGCACTACAGTTCCTGGGATGATGTCTAAGAAAGATTGTTTTATTTTATTGAAACTCCTGTCACTGGGGCTACTGTAGCTATCTTGATCTACTTTCATGCTCCTTTTGGAGAATTTTATTTTTTTCCTTAACAACTAGTTTCTCCTATTTGATCCGAATTCTAGCATTTAGCATTCTTTTAGCCTATAAAAGCAAAAGTAAACTTAAGGTTGAAAAGTTTCTGGGATACCAGGAACAGCTACTCTTACTGGCTGTCGCAGAGAGTTTGATAGAGCTGGGGTTCAGAGTTGTGTTCTGCAAGGGTGACTTCTGCCAGTGTTTTCAAATGTCTTACTGTTTGAAGGCTGCTGCATTTCAAATTATGGTTCACATTTTCCTCATTTTTTTCCTCTAATTCTTCAGGTTATGAACACTCACAACCCTTCAAAATTCCTCTGTGAAATGAACAGGAGTGTGGGGAGGTCCATGTGTAACATGAATCCTAAGTGATGCTTTGTGAGCACATGTGCCAAATAGCATGGTGGGAGGCCTACATGTGTTACCCCATTGCATTTTCACAACCCCACAAGTCAGGTTCTTTCTGATCTCTGTTTGTAGATAAGGAAACTGAGGCTCAGGGAGGTTTTATGACTAGTAAACAGCAGGACTGAGACCCAGCTGTGTACTTGGCACTGAATCACACTGCTTCCCCAGTGTAATACCCAGAATAGTGGGCTGGAGGAAGTCTCCATGCCTAATGTGAACGAGAGAGATTCCCAGGAACTGCTGTTGATATTAATGAAATAGTTAAAGTGGTGAGCAGGAATGCCATTTTACTGATCATCTTCTCTCAAAGTTCATGTGTTGACTGTCATTCCTATCCACTGTGGAGGACGAATATCAACACATTCTGAGGTCCCCAACCTCCGCATGTGAACAGATGACAGACTCATGCATATGTTCACCCCATTCCTGCCAACCCTGTGGCAGCTCCTTTGCTAGGATTTATAGGAACATCTGCTCAGATCACACTGTCCTTGCCCATGACCTTGGTGCATACCAAGGGCACTTGCATTCAAGATGAGCTAATGAAGATAAATACATCCTAAGGGGAGTAGAGGCACTTAAAGGAATTAATAGCATTTGGTGTATGTGCTAAAAAGGGTTGGTGGAATCAAAGGTCATGGTTTCATCCTAATTCAGCATAAAACATGCTGGCCTTTGATTTCAATACCGTATCTCAAATTTTGGGATACTCTGTGTACTTATGTAATCTTAGAGTAATATTTTTCTGAGAAGGCATAGATATCTAAAATTTGTTCTTATCCAAGCAGCAGAACCCTTAGCAGACTTGGAAAAGATTTAAAATTTCCTTCTCATGTCCAAGGAAAGAGTTGACAATATCAACTTAGAATTAAGGAAAAAAATACATTTTTAAATTATTCTTTAATAAAACCAGAAGACAGAACTTAATATGTTGTTTTCTATGCAAGAAAAGTCTGAAAATCAAACACCAGCCCAATCATCTGGGAAGGGGGTACCATGGTTTTCTTATCAAGATAAAATCAGAAAACATACAATTAAATTTAAGGATGTTTGATTAAAAAAAGTACCAAAAGGCCAGGTACTGGTGGCTCATGTCTGTAATTTCACCTACATGAGAAGCTGAGATGGGGAAGATTGTGATTTGAGGCCAGTCAGTACAAACAGTTCTCTAGATCTCATCTCCAAAATAACAAGACCAAATGGACTGAAGGCATGGCTCAAGCAGTAGAGAACCTTGCTTTGCAAGTGTGAAGCCCTGAGTTCAAACCCCAGTCCTACCTAAAGCAAAACAAAAACAAAAAAAAAAAGAAAAGAAAAAGAAAGTGCCAGTGTTCTGTATTTGGGGTGGTATGGAATCAGAAAGAGCAGACCAGTTAAATCCTTAGCTAGTAAGAGAATAACTGTAGGCAGTTGTTCTTGATAAATAGCAGCTAGCCTGAGCAAAAATATGTAGAAAACAACAGCAGTCCTGCCTTCTTCAATATCCACAACAGCAGCAACAACAAAAAGGGCATCTATGATGAGATTTAAAAACCAGAGAGATGCTTGCTAAAATTCTGACTTAACAAGTAAACAAACATGTTAGTTATTATTGAGTCATAACTTTAAATGCATACTTTAACTTTGAAAATATTTTAACTTCCTGCTATAATCCACTTAGGACAAATAGGAAAACACACTGTTACTTTCAGATGGTCAGATTATATTATCACCATTCCAAATGTTACTTAATTTTAACCATTTGTACAGGATTTAGGATGCAGTGTCTTGGGATATTTTTATTGACAACTTGTGAAAGTTCAGTTCATTAATGACTAAAAATTTCTTAAAAAAAAAAGAAAAGACTAAAACTATGCTAGGAACAGTTGTACATGTGTTAACAGAGATTTCAGAGGTCAGTAGCCAATTTTCACTACAGCCAACCAAGTTCTATTGCATCGTGACCTTTGACTTTTTCTATGACAGGTAAAAATTATTCAGATTCTAAAGAGGACTGGGCTCTCACTGAACTAACTACACTTAATGAGCACAAAGCAAAGCATACAAATTAACAATGCTGAGTGATAATAAACAGAAGTAAATTATATTGAGATAAAGTATAAATGGACAATGGAATAATCCACTCACACTAAATGGACTGTTATATTAATTTCATAAAAAATTGCTCTGGATCTTCTGTGTCTCAGGTAAATAGCTGATGTGAGGGTGTTCTATATTTTGGCACACATAGGTGTGTCCACTCTTAACTTCTGTGTGCATACTAAGTGGTCAGGTGACAGTGCTTTGGATTGTGGTTTGTGATGCCAGGCACATGGACCTGCAGTCCTCTTATCAGCTGATGGGCTGGTTCACTCCAATATAATTGTTAGCCATACCACCAACTGGCTTGGATTCCACCATGGGCAGATGGTCAGTGGATAGATCTCAGAAGGGCAGTCAGCTGATCAAAGCATTTCAAGCCCCCAAGGCCTCTACTCTTTCACTGCCCCCTCCTCCTGCTCCTGCACCAAGGCTAATTGGGTCAGTTCATTTTTTTTCTCTTCCACCAAAAGCCTTTTTTTGTTGCTCTTTTGGGACATATTTTCTCCTCCAAGCTACTTGTGACATAGCTTTTTCAGTGATTTTATTCCATTGAAAGAATTGGGGACATGGAGAGGCTGGAGGGGGATTTACCTGGGGTTCTATATTCTACCAGGGATGGATTTAAATATCAGGCTACTATGTGTATGTTAAAGAAAATTTTTAAACAGCAAGAAAGAATTGCTGCATTCAATTAAGTACATGAAAGAATTTCAGATATTTCTCAAAGAACTTTCATAGGAAGGCACTAGTTCATAGCATGAACTGAAAGTTGTACAGAGTGTTCTGCATCCACGCCCTGGGTGTGACCCCTGACCTCACCACTTGCTAGCTGTGTGACCCAGGCAGGTAACTCAGGCTTCCACGCCTCAGTATCCTCAGCTGACTACCACGGCTGTGGGAGGAGAAGGAGGCAACACACGTAAAACTGTATGTGGAAAGAATGTCTTTCTTGCTAGCACTCAATAAATGCCAAGTATTACTTGTTACTGTAAGAGAACATTTTAATTTATCATCTATACACCATCTCAAAAATTGGTTAAGGCCTCTTCTCAAAGCTGTAACTGTTAAAAAATGAGAAAATTGAAAATACATGACAGCAAAATCTATTAAGAGGATGAGAGAAGTACATATAGAGAAGAATATAACCATGTGACGTGAGCCCTAACAGACAGCCCTAAAACCTGTTAGGTTATGTAATCTACTGTCCAGAAAAAGGAAGCAGAGAGATTTTTCCTAAGAAACCAAAATTTTAAACCACTGAATTCTAAGAGTCATTTATTTCATGGATGCTTATGTTTCAAGGAGCAAATCTATTCCTTCAGTTTTAAAAAAGATGAGAATGATAAAATGGGGAACAGATTAATAGTTAGGGGTTAGGGATGGTGGAGGAGAAGGGTAACATTGTGGTGATGGAATAAGTTTTTTTTTTAATCTTCCTTCAAATGTATGTTTCAAAATCAAAAGTTTAAAATAAAAAATATTCTTCAAATGGATATAGCTTATACTGCTATAAAAATATAGTTGCATAGTTGACTTGAGTTTTTAATTTTTCTTTGAAACAGTAATTTTCCTTAAAATAATTTTAAGTACTTGTACTTCCCTTTATTCCCCACCCCCAAATCTCAAAGCGACCTTGCCATATCCGTTAGTTACATAAACTAACTTTAAAGCTTATTTCAAGTTTGCCTTTCCTTTCTGGCTTGTATTTTCTTGCCAGTATGGGCAGGCTGGCTGTGAGCTTCTCAAATTCCTACTAATCATTCCCACCTGTTTATTCATTATCTATATCCAGGTGGAAGTAGTCATTTCAACTCTGGGGTCCCCTCATTTATATCACTATTTCTGGGTTACTTCCTGTAACAAGGTTTTATTTATCTGCAGTGATGTTGTCTCTTTCTTCTTTCCTCTTTTCATGTCGGCTGCTCTTTGTTAGTGAGCAAGTGAAATCTCTAAGGCTGTCAGAATCAGCTATTGAGTTTATTTGAATTTATCTGACATGTTCAGAGGTAGATTACACAGCCACAAGGAGTCATTTTCATTACCTAGTAAGATGGAGCCACCCAGAATTTTATGGCAATCACCATAGCGGTACTAATCCTGCTTCAAGTCCCAGCATCTACTCAGGACATTGCTGTCTGAGTTGGGCCATGCAAGCACGTACCTTTCATCTGCACGAAGTCCAGCTGGTGAATGGATTGCAGTAGAGGGCTATTGTCCAGACTCAAGTCAAAGTCCGTGGTCATCCTGGGAGTGAGTGTGCCTTTCCCCCACTGATCCTCAGTCAGGTGCACTCTCCTTATGAGGGCATCCGAAATCTAATCACATCAAAAACCACAGCCTAAGAAATACAACACTACACTGGAACCACAGGCCTTGAGATGCACAACTTTCCAGCCTCAGTGGAGTTGATGGGATGGACTCTGTTGGTAAGAGGATGACCCACAATTTAAGAAATCTGAACACTTGTGTGAGTCAGAGGGAAGGGGCACTGTAAATAATTAGAGGGTGTTAATTGATCTAACAGACAAACCTGGATATATGGTCATGCTGTTTGTGACTGATCCTCTAAAAGCCAACAATTATAAAGAATGCTGCAACATACTGGCAACTAGTCAATCTTATAAGAACCAACAGATCTAAGCTTCTATTTTGATGTGTGGGTAGGCTACCAAGACTAGCTTAGAGAGGCTGTGTATGGAATTCCTTACAGTTTAAGCACACTATTTTTATGTGACTATCACTTTATTCTTTGGTGGAAGATTCTTTCATTACTTAATTAATTTTCCCTCTGTCATTCTGGGCCAGTTTAGTAGAATGTGAGTTGGAGGAGATCTATCCACATGTCCCTTACTGAAAGGTTACTTATTTTTATGATTAAAACTTAAATAAAATCCAGCTTACATCATAGCATTTCACTAAAACAACACTGAAAATGAAAAACACTGTTCAAGAAATCACTGACTTGCTGGCCAATTAGTAGGAAGTGACAAGAAAGTAGAAACCTTGCACACTCAGATGTTTCTGGCCAACAAAATTATCCAACAGCTGGTAAAGGAAAAGGCCTAATTCTCAGGCATGGCAATGCTCTACTTTGGAAGAACTTACAGGGAGTAATGTTTTCATGATTAAACACAAGAATAAAAATAACCACCCACCTACCCCCGCCCCTAAACCCACAATGCATTTCTCAGTCAGCACATGGTGGCAGAGACTTCTAGGAAGTCAGTGGAGTACATTTAGCAGGTACTTGCACACGTCCTACAGTGTTCTGTTATTGAGGACCCATGCTCAGCCAACGCTGCTGGGTGTCCTACCTATGTATCCTGCACTCAGTCCCATGGAACATCTGGAATCTGCCACTGAAGCTACTTACCTGCAAAAAGCCACTAGGATCATTTTCCTTAATCACCTCCAAGCAGTATTCCATGAGACCAGTGGTCTGGCGCAATTTCACTGTGCAGTGAGAGATCTGATCTCGAACGACCTAGGATTGATGAGAGAAGAAAATGGTCCAAAATGGTGGAAGACAGAGGAAAAGCAAACTGGGACTTTGGAAAGCATCTTCAAACCAAAATCCAAGAGCATCACAGAAATGGAACTCAGTTTACAAGAATACTTTGTGGCAATGTCTGCATGGACAGTGGCTCTGGAAGACAGATTGAATGAGGTTCTTACAGGAAACTGGAAACAACAGGACCCACCAGAAGGAGCACAGAGGTTGGAACCCTGTGAATCTAGTGACCTTCACACACCAAGGTTCACCCTCCATGGCATCTCCTTGCCACTGTCTGGGAAGCTGACTCTCCTGTGAGCTGCTGAGGTCACAAGGCCTCTGTGAGGGGCTGCTGTATAACACACACTATGATCCACTTTCCCATTCCTTTCGAGAGAGCAGACATCACCATCTGAACCCCACCACACTGGTGGGGTTCACTTTTTTGGGGTGGGTGGTGGGGGGACAGGTGTGGTTTGTGAGAGACAATGAGATGATGTGAACAATAACTTGGGGAAAGAAAATAGAATGAAGTTTGTGAATAACCTACTTAGAGTCATTGCCCTCTTTTTGGAAAACACTTTTAAAGGCTGCCCTATTTGTCAAGCTGTGAGGCTGCTTTAACCTAGATAGGCAACTGTCCAAGCATGCAGTTTCTGCCTCTAAGAAGTTGTCTTTGCCCAGTGACAAACTCATGACAATCCTTGAAAAGTTTCTTCCTTTAGAGGTGTTTGTCTTCCTGACCTCTGCTAAGTGATCTGAATGCTGAGTGGCTTTTGAAACAGAACTGAACATGGAGTTTCTGAGAACCTTAATCATGTGCTTTTTTGATATTTATACTTCTTTGCAAAAGCCTTAAAATCTCCAGAACTTTGGATTTTATGGATAATTACTAAAAAAGATGTTAATAATAATTATTAAAAACTTCCTTGCTCCTTCCTTTCATTTTTCATTATAAATTCATATTGCATTAAAAATGATTACATCTGATTTCCAAAACAATTGGGAAATAGATGAAAACAAAGCAAATAACCTCACCATTCTAATGGAAAAGTTTAAAGCACATTGGTTTTTCAATTTAGTTTTTTTTTTTTTTCTGGAACCAAATTTATTTATAGTTGCAATCATAGTACATGACAGTTTTACCCCCCAATTTAATACAATACCATAGGCATTTTCATCTTTCTACATCTTTCTACCATCAATAAAACCTTTTAGCTACATAAATATCCCATTGAGGGTGTAGTCATCATTTATTTAATCATTCTTTGTTCTTCCATTTTTTGGACATTTCACTTTTTCCTAATTTTTTGACAATTTGTTCACTCATTGTTTCTGTGTATTGTTTTTACTTTTTATTGTGGTAAAACATATATAACATAAAAATTTCTAGCTTAGCCATTTTAAATGTACAGTTCTGTAGCATTAAGTACATTTGCATTGCTGTGTAACCATCAACACAATTCATCTGCAGATATTTTCTGTTTTCCCAAATTGAAATTCTATAGCCATTAAATACTAGCTCTGCATTCCCTTCCTCCCAGCCTCTGGCACCCACCACTCTACTTGTCTCTATGAATCTCAGAAGGCAGGAATCTCATATAAGTGGAATTGTTCAGCAATTTGTTCTTTTGTGACTGGCTAATTTCACTTAGTATAATGTTTTTAAGGTTCATCTATGTTGTATCATGTATCAAAATTTCTGTCTTTTTAAGACTGAAAAATATTCTAATATATGCATTAACCATATTTTATTTATCCATCCATAGAGGGTTGGGTTGTTTCCATGTTTTGGCTATTGTGACTAACCATGTTATGATCAAGGATGAACAAACACCTAAATGACTCTTGGCTTCTGCTTCTTATGGATATCCACTCTGAAGTGGAATTACTGGATCATATGGTAATTTTATGTTAATTTTTTGTAGACTCACCATACTGTTTTCCACAGCAGATGTAGCATTGTATACTCCCACAGCAATGCATACGAATTCCACTTTCCCAACATCCCATCAATACTTACTATTTCTGTTTGTTGTGTATGTGTGTGTGTGTGTGTGTTTAACATAACAGCTATCCTAACAGGAAAAAGGCAGTGTATCATTGTGGTTTGATTTGCATTTCTGTAAGGGCTAACAATATTGAGCATTTTTTCATATGTTTATGGGTTTTTTTGGGGGGAACACTGGGGTTTGAATTCAGGGCCTCATGCTTGCTAGGCAGGCGTTCATACTGCATGAGCCACACCTCCAAGCCCATTTTTGTGTGTGTGTGTGTGTGAGATGGGCATTTTCGAGATTGGGTCTCACTATTTGCCCTGGGCTGGCTTCGAACTGCAATCTTCCTGATAGCTAGGATTATAGGGCTGAGCCACTGGCACCTGGCCTTATTAATCATTTGTACATCTTCTTTGGGGACAAGACTATTCAAGTCCTTGCCTATATTTTAATTGTTGTTGTTTTTATTGAGTTATAGGAGTTCTTTATATATTCTGGATATCAATTGTTTATCAGATACATGATTTGTAAATTTTTCCTCCTGTTTTATGGGTTGCTTTTTTATTCCTTTGATGGTGACCATTGAGGCATAAATATTTTTCATTTTGAGAAGATTTTTTTGTCTTTTGTTGTTTATGCTTTTGATGCCATATCTAAGAAACCATTGCCAAAGCTCTCCCCCTTCGTTTTCTTCTAAAAGTCTTATAATTTTAGATATTATATTTAGGGCTTTGATCTATTTCGAATCAGTTTTTATAAACCAGTTAGGTAGGTGTCTAACTTCATTTTTCCCTGTGTGAATACCCAGTTTTCCCTACCCCGTTTGTTGAAAAGACTGTCTTTCTCCCTGTTGAACGATCTGTTGCCTTTGTGGAAGATCATTTGGCCATATATGCAGGAATTTATTTCAGGGCTATCCTATTCCAGTGGCTTATATGTCTCTCTTCATCTAGCAACACACAGTTTTGACACTGTAGCTTTGTGCTAAGTTTTGAAGACAGAAAGTATGAACACTCTAACTTTGTCCTTTTTCAAGACTGTCTGGCTATTTGAGTCTTTTAATTTTCTGACAGGTGATTTGGTATTGCTTTTTAATTTTAGTAAGAATCAAAATGAAGACTAAAATGCAGGACCTAGAAAAGCTATCATAATTGGTAAAAGAAACTAATTTTGATATGAAGATTATCTTTATAATTTTTCTTGGGGAGGGAGCAAATTAAAATCCACTAGTTAATTTATTTCCTTCTCATACCCAACACATTCCTGACAACCACCACCACCACCTGTTGGTGTGGGATCAAGGAATACAAGTTACTTTATTTTTTACTTGAAAATAAACAAGAAGGCGAGGTTTCTGCTTCTTGGGGGTAAGAATTCCAAAACTGTTCCTTAAGTAAAACATTTAAGGGTTCAAGACAGGTGACCATCAGCTAATACACTACTTCCCTCTGCTATCTGAGGCTTAATTCACCTGTTCTAAGAAGATGCTTTTATTTTATAATTCAGTAGGCAGTGCATTCCTTCTGCCAGGAACAGAAAGTTTAGCAGTCACCATTTCATTGTACAATTGGCACCTGCTCTGTGACTACTGGTCCTGAAAGTCAAGTAACAAACACAGACCAGACCTGAACACAGTAACCCAAAGAGAGTCTGCTTTTGGAGACAAAACTGACTGAATTGTGTTCACTTTCTGGAGGATAATTTTATGACACACACATACTAAAATAAATTCATTCCTTGGTCCCCATAAAATTCTATGCATCTGTAGACTTCCTTCTCAGGCAAGGTGGACTTGGTGCTGAAGTTGCTGTCTGAATGTGGGGTTCTCTGTCCACTCTTGAGAAGCTTTATTGTTGCTCTGCCAGAGTCAGTGAGTTTCAGCAGGGCCAGACATTGGCTGTTCTATTCTAAGCTCTAGTTTCTGGGGAGGACTCAGTATTTCCCCAATTCTGACTCTCAACTACCACCGTTGCTAGGACTGATTTTGCTCTGTTGCTTTACATTTTAATCAGCCATTCCACAATGGTTGCAACAGCCTGTGATAACAATCACCGCTGAAATTAAGGCGTTCTCAGAGAAACAGCTTCGAGAGCATTGTAATTGATTTTTAGTTTCTGAACTATTGAGCAAGATTTCTAACCTTATGGAAATCAGTTAGATAAGTATCCTGTTTAAGAGTTTAAACATTTTCTCTGGTTGAGAGTCTTTTATTGGCTCTTTTACCGGCTATCTTCTTCAAACTGTAGTATTCATACCACTTCTAATTATTATTTCTTTTTGCACTTGGTTTTTATGGAAATCAGTTCCTACAAAGCCAGGCCATGTCACTTTATTCCTTGAATTAAACAGTCTGCTTTGGCTTTGGTGCCCCAGAGAGATCGCTGGCACCACATTTGCAGCTGGCAGGACTCAAGAGTTCTTTTTCTTAGGAACTGCACAAGTTGAAGGAATGACACAAATAGGTACCAGGAGAACAGACTTCCTGCTTTCATCTGCACTGAAGCCTACACCAGTTCCCACGGGACAGTGAATTAATCTGTAGTCTATAATTTCAGAGAACACTTTCACAGTTCTGTCAGCAGAGCTGCCATCTGTTCTGGATGTCACATGCCCAATGATCATTTGAATAGTTTTATTTTGTTAAGTGGCAAACTTATAAAGATCACTTCTTTATAAGGACATGACACTTCTTGGGTGAAGACATGACACTGACATTCATTTGAAGAACACTCTTTGAATGGACTGCTGTGTCCTTTTGAATTCACAGACTTTTTCAGCACCACTGAGAAACTCAGGGAAGTGTAGATTTGCTGTCTGTCCACACTAATGTTCACCTCCTACAGCCAATCTCCTTCCTCCATTCAGTTCATGTGACACAAAGAAAAGCAAGATCTGATGTTAATTAAAAGGAACTTCACGATTTTATTCAACTATGCCCTTGCCTACTTTTCCCATCTTCATTTACCTCTTCATTTCACATGTGGCTCTTTAAAT